GGTGCGAAAGATACAACGTGTCATTGGATATGCAAAGATATGAATTTTTCCATGCCATTATCTTTTCATGCAACCAACAAGGAAGCAATTATTTCATCAGACACTACATGCTTATTAAATGTTAATATAGCACTGTTATATCAGAGAAATGTAACAGCAAATTATTGTAACGTTAGCTGTGATAATTTTGAAGATGATCAATGTTTATATACATCTACTACTTTCTGGGGTTTTGTTATCTTGATGCTTTTTGGTGAAATTGGTTATCATATATCCCTCAGTGCAAGCGATGTTATTTGCTTCGACATATTAGGTAAATAATTTCATAAACCTATAGTATATTTCCATGTATTAAAATTTAAAAGAATAATTCCGTAATAAAATAAATTAATAAATTAAAGCATCAGAATACTTTATTTTATAGAAATTTATTTCAAAGAGTGGAATTGTATATCCGACAGAATGAGCAACATTTCGATTAATTTATAAAGCTTATCATGCGTGAATATATATATACTAGTATATATATATATATTTATCGTGTAATCCCGATTATTCAATAACATAAATATAAGCAAATATAGTCTATAGCGAGATCCATTAAGAAACATAATTAAGTGTACACCCCTGACGGAAAAAAATGTTTACAAAAAAATACAAAAAACTACATAGATTGTGTGTGTGTGAGACAACATTTTAGAAATTCTTAATTTTTCCTATTATTAGATATTTATAATAGGATGTAGAATGAGGTTTTTTTGTCTTATTGTTAGAAATTCTTAGTTTTTCATAGATATTTGTAGAGTCGTTATTTGAGGGCGAAGAATTTCTCAGTTTTTCATACAAACAATGTCACTTACGTTCCACCATGAATATTTATGAAAAACTAAGAATTGGTCTCAATTAGTTTTGTTACAATGTAGTTTTTCGTCAGGAACACAACAGATAAATATTAAATATTGACTTTCTCGAAAACAAAACTTAAGATGAAAAATTATTATTTTATGTTTTCAACTTATTTTTTCATGTAGAATGTCTATTTCGTTGTACTATCAGATCACAAACACTCTATGTAATATATATTATCTTGTAAAAGAAAGACACTTTTTAATAAAGTTTAATCTCTCAGGTGAAGATGGACAAATGAGGTACGGCAGACAGCGATTATGGGGTACAATCGGTTCTTCTCTTCTGTCACTTCTGTCTGGTTTAACAATAGATTTGTGGTCGCAAGAGAAAGTTTACAAAACTTATACACCAGCGTTTATTTTAGTACTCACATTTATTTGTATCGATTTAATATGTTGTAGAAAATTAAAGGTACATTACATGTTTAGAAGAAAAAAAGACAATGGTACAATAATATAGTTTTTAATTTTATGTTTTTAACTATCATGTAATATCTTCTTTGCAGTTGCCACTCTCAAAATCGCCGAGTATATTAAAAAATGTATTTGCAATTTTAAAATTAGTACCAATTATTATATTTCTATGTACTGCTATGTTTGCTGGCATTTTTGAAAGTCTCATGGTTAATTTTTTATTTTGGTAAATTCTTTTTCTTTATCAATATATATGATTGTGTATTCGTTAAGTTTTTATATAATAAAACGCATAATAGAACTATATGTCGGATTAATTATATTTTAGTAATTAATTTTTAGGTATATAGAAGATCTTGCTATGGCAACCGGTTATATGAAAAAAGTTAAATTAATAGAAGGTCTAACATTATCCTCAGGCTTGCTCGGCAAAGTAATATCCTACTTTATGTCTGGTAATGTTACTTTTTTTTTCATAGTTACATATTGTTACATAGAGTTATACAATTATTGTGTAATTGAAATATTTTGTTCTACAAGGTAAAATATTGGAAAAGTTTGGATATGATTACACACTTACATTTTGCTTTTTATGCTATGCGTTGAGGATGGCATTACTATCTCTAGTGCCAACGCCATGGCATGTACTTTTGATAGAAGTTATTTTGCAAGGGCCATCATTGGCGCTTCTTTATGCAACAATAGTAACGCATGCAAGCATAATATCACCACCTGGTACATCAGCTACTGTTCAAGCAATTGCGACTGGTACGAAGGATGGTCTTGGTACGTTCTGTTATGTAAATAGATATCTAGAATCATTTCACAATGAAAGAAGTTTGGACAAGTAGTGAATCCCAGTACAGATATAAATGCTATCCAACATATACATAAATATACATCGTTTCACATTTGTTATGTAGCAATTATATTTACGATTTGCTGGAGTGTATCTATAAATTTTTTTATAAAATTGACGATTTATTATGTATAATGTTGCAATATTTTTAGGATATGCGATTGGTAGTTTCTTAGGTGGCTTCTTATTCAGACAAATTGGTGGTCGAAGAACTCTAAGAATATATTCAGGACTTGCAACACTTTCTGCATTAGTTTATATTATATCGTATACTTTATATACAAAACGTACAACAGGTAAGGAATCAAGTAATTCGATTTGCTGAACTATAATTTTTTCTGACTATGAAAATATGAGAAACTTTCTTTTTATTACAGATACACGAAATAAAGTTGAATGGAAGAAACATGATGATGCGCAAAGAGAATATATTATAGATGAAAAGTGTTTACATGTATCTTCTTACAAACATGTTTCATATGTATCTTCTTAATAAATAATAATATATTATGAAAATTTTTATAATTTATGTACTTATATTATGTTATAAGAACTTGATGCAAATCACATATTTATACACAAATATATGAATAATATGAAGATATACGTGTTATACATAATAAATATTAATCTTTACTCAATTCACTATGTAGCGAAGGTTATTTAAGATTTATTAAAAATAAACACACATACACACTCACACGTATACATTGCTTGATTATTTTATGTCTTACATGAAATAATTAGATATAAAGAAAAAAAATTTATTTTTCTTATAAATATTAAGAAAAAAATATTGCTGAAAATTTTTATCTTATATTATATATTAATAAAAGGGTGGATGGAATATATTTTCAATATATTAAATTAACAGAAGAATAAAAAAAGCATTAAATTTATATATATTTTAATTAAATTTTTAATGATAACTTTTTGAACAATTCTATAAACAAACTTTTATTAAAATATGATTTGTATTATATTTTTATACTTTTAAACGATAACAATATTAAATTAATATTGCAAATAACCTATTAGATTAGATAATTGTCAATAATGATATAGATTTCTAGTCTTTTTATCAGTATAATAATTATAATATATAATATAAAGAATAATATATAAAACATATAACACAATTCAAAATAAATTGTAGAAGCTAGACTAGTGGAAATGTCATCACTTCTGGAGTGCATTGTTATCTTATTCTAATCAACGGTATCGTTTTAAATGTAAAATTATTCTTTGTCAATGTCATCACATACAGCTACGTAGCTGCAACTTTTAGAATAAAATATAAAGTTAAATTATTGATATTATTATAATAATTCAAATTTATTTGACGATTCTAAACGGTAAACTGACAGTATAGGCAAATTATTATTTATATTTTATCAAACTTTATTATAAAAGTTTAACAATTAGAAATGTGTCACACTATACATATGTGTGACCTCAAAAAGTTTACAAAGCATAAAAGTGCATCATTTATATAATGATTGAGATAACAGTAAATAATATAGGTAATAATATATGTAATTTTAGGTAACGGTCACGTTTTTCTTAATGACGTCTAATAGACAAAAAAAAAAAGTGATATGGAATATTATCTTTTAATATCATTCTTTTTTGGGGATATTGCAGTTCTTATATACAGAATTCGTAAATTTATGATTTTTCATAACGAATATACCGCCAAGCCAAATTAGTGAGAGAAATGTAATGTTTTTATATAATTTTATCGTTATCATTATCTGAGGCTGCAATGTACAAGATGTTATATTATCATCAGATATAATCTCAGGATTATTTCGTAATCTCAGATCTTTTTTAGCGAATTCACAATTAGAATTGATTTTATTATAATGTAATTTTTTATGATAATCATTTTTATTAATAATCTTGTAAGCAATACACTGCAAAAGTGAAATGAATCCAAGGTTAATAAAATGAATATCTTATCACTCGTTCCCGTACAGCATACTTTATCCGAGAAACTCCTAGGAATATTTTTAAAAACATAGAAACGTCCCTTGAAGGTCTGTGCTGTATGGAAACAAATGGTAAAATATTTGTCTTTTCAATTTTCCTCGCGATTAAGTCAGAGGCGGCGATAAAGGCCATGGAAGCCTTTCTTTTTTCTTAAAAATATTAATCGCAAAATGTTATATTACTTTTAATATTTCTGAAATACTTAATCACAATTTTAATATTCCAAAAATATTTTTTTAATTTAAGAAACTCCTAAATTCTTACAGCTTAACTTACTGCTTTATTGTAGACATCATATTTGATGAAATATTCGTCTTATCAATTTTCCTTGCGATAAATCAGAAGTAGTCCACGATGGGCGCCATGGCCCCCATCTTGGATGTCTTCTTTCTTAAAAATATTTATAGTAAAATGTCATGTTACTTTTAGTATTTCTGAAATACTTAATCACAATTTTGATATTTCAAAAATATTTTTTAATTTAATAAACTCCTAGATTCTTACGACTTAAGATTTACTGCTCTATTGTAGACATCGCATGTATTATGTAGCGTTAGGCAAAAGTCTATGCTGCGGCTCTTATTTTCCGTTTTCTCTTGTAATGCGTAAATTAAAAATAAGGACGGAAAGATATGGAAACTATGAACATTTTCTTTTTTTATTTTTTTAAATGTATTTTTTAATATTGTTGATATATAATGTTGGAGAAACTCAATAGTATACAAATCCGCCAATATCCCCTGAAATACCTTGAGAAATTTCTAAATCCGCCCCTGCGGTGAAGTACAACGCGATAATTGAATGATTTATTAGATTCATATGCGTGTCGCGTATACATTGGAGCTGTGAGTGTTTTATCAAAATAATGTTTGCGTAACAACCAGTGTGAACCGGTTTCATGAATGCAAAATTAATTTTAGTCTCGGCTCCAACATATTCTTTATATTTTTTCTAAATCAATTCTAAAAGCTATGCCAAAATCTGCTGGCAAATTCAAAATATATTAATGTCAACAACAGTACACTGAGGAAAAAATGTTTATTTCACAAAATTAATTTAGTTTATTTTTATTGGAGAAATATTTAACTATAATAAATATATTTAAATATATACACTCTCCACCAAAAGTAATAAAGATAAATTAAATTAAAAAAGTAATAAAGATAAATTAATTTAATCTAATGAACAATTTTTTTCTCAGTGTACGGTCGGCATATTCAGCAACTTTTTAGTTGCACTCGCTACTTTCTCCTCGTGTGTCTCCCAGCTTCTCGTTCCGCTTTTCTGTTCAGTCAAAACCTGAATATCTACTCTTATTCTTACGTATCTCTCGTAGGTGTAGAAAGTGCAGCTGCACATCTAAAACTGACATATCAATCCGGCACATATACAGTTGCGCATGTTTGTCACTCCGACATTGAAACCATATCTTCGTTGAGTATGCGGCCTATCAAACGATTAAGAGGCTTACATTACAAACGAAATATTGTTGGAGTAAGAACCTGACACCGAATTATAGATGGCCTAAATATACGGTGAGTTCATCAGGTTTCTTTTACTCTAGAAAATAATAAGTGACGAGATCCTATGAAACGAATGATCCTATGAACGATGAACGAGTGAGAACTTGTCGCAGGTACCTTAATTCTTAAAAACCTTTGAAATTACTTGAAACGTATATTGACTTTTAATGCAGCGTGCGGATGATACTCTTAACGTAGCCATTTTGGAATCGTAAGTTCGTATACTTTGAATGTATTTTTGACAAGTAATACTTCGAGATTATCGATATATTGTAGTCGATCGAGATAATTTATGCGTGTATAGCACTGATGATAGCTTTTATAAGAAAATATTAAATATAATGTTTTATATGAATGTATATTATGATTATGTAATATATATATTTGGAAAATATTTTTTACGTGTTATTTTTAAATCTATTATTAAAGTTAATATTATTAATTTGCAGCATGTGGCCAATTTGAACATACGAAAATGCTAAAGCAGTGAAATACGAAATTTGTTGAGATTATTGGTACCTGCCTATATTTATAAACATAAATCATGAAAATTAATTATACACAATTGCCTATAAAGATGCATTATTTTTTTTTTATGGCCGGTAAGTAGTCAGAAAATATATAATATCTTAGATATCTCATATTTTAAAAATTTATTCACTTTTAAGATCTTCATTTATTTTTTATACGATACATTTTATGAAAAATATATAAACATAAAAATAATTGTAACATACTGTCATTAAAAGTGATAAAAATATATTTTGGTTCTTTAAAAAGTGATGAAAGTTTATTTGGTTTATATTTAAGAAAGCAATTATATAAGTGTACTCTCTAGAAACATTGTATCTTTATCACGTATAAAATTAATAATAGTTACATATTACAATAACTATACGAAAGTATTAAAAAATAGTTATCAATTTATAATAAAAAATATATATTATTACACAGTAAAAAACATTTTGCATTTTTGTTAAAAACGATTCACTTAAAACTTTGTCAAATTTTTTTGTTAAATTTTTAACATATTTAAGTTTTAATTTTACATAATGTAATTATGTTATTTATACCTATATTTCAAGTTAAACTGATATTCAACATTTCTTGAGTATCAAAATAATATAATTGTATAAGTGAACAAATAATAGTAAATTAAAGTATTTTTAAATACAAAAATTCTAAAATAAATAAATAAAATACATGTTAATTTAACATATCATAAATGTTAATTTTACTAAAAAAAAATATATTTTTATAATGTTTACAAATTGTGCCAGTGTTATATTTTTGTGTTAGATTTTTTTATATAACATTTGTGATACTTTCTAACATATTCATCTTGTATTAAATTAACACAAAAATTTGAGTGAATCTTTTGATATACGTGAAGTATATTAAATTTAACACAAATTTTCTGTGTAAGTACAGTTCATAAATGTCATTACAATTATTACTTTTATTTTAGCTATGGGTCCTATTTTGCCATTTCTGCCAGTTTACGGCAAGCAACTTGGAATTTCACCATTAATTATGGGTAGCATCACAGCAATTTTACCTATTTTATTTCTTATCGCAAAACCACTATTTGGCTTCATTGTGGACTACTTCCGCACTAAAAGGAAATTAATATTTATAGCGCTACTTACCGTAACAAGTAGTTGCTATATTTTGATGTACTTTTTACCGACTTTGCCCGGTTCATTCTTACCAGGTCATCAGTTTCAAAATGTTTCCTGTGCATCTTTGCCACCTTGCGATATGGACTATGTAATTTGTAATTTTTTGCACATTTTTCGAATAATAAAATTTCTAAAACAATTGTTTAAAAACTGACTTTTACGAGAATTTGTACTTATTAAATCTTTAAAAATATTTGAATATTAATGTGCTTTTATATATAAGCAATATATTAAAAAATTTTTTTTTGTTTTTCTTTTAAGCATACAGTGGAATCATGTAACAGTATAAAAAACACTACATGTCATTGGATATGCAAGGACGCGAATTTTTCTACAAGATTGTCTTTTCATGCAATTAAAAAAGAAACAATTATTTCACCGAATACAACATGCTTATTAAATATTAATGAGACGTCATTATGTCAAGAAAATATAATAAAAAATTATAATTGTAATGTTACTTGCGATAATTTTGAAGATAATCATTGTTTATATACATCCATTACTTTTTGGGGATTCGTGCTTTTAATGTCTCTTGGTAATATAGGATTTAATGTTTCTAATAGTATAAGCGATGCAATTTGCTTTGACGTATTGGGTAAGTGATTTGTAAAATTATATTTTAGTGTGCTATGTAGAATATAAAAATGCTCACGTAGATATAATATAACTTTAATTTTTTACGATATAAACAGTTTAATATTTGTACATTAATTTAAATGTTAAAATATTAACTCAATTTTATGTAATATAATAAGGAGAAACATTTTTCTCAATATCTCTTTCCAGGTGAAGGTGGACAAATGGGATATGGTAGACAACGAGTATGGGGCACAATCGGTTTCGGCATAGCAGCATTTTTGGCTGGGTACACAGTAGACTTGTGGTCGCAAGAAGAAACCTACAAAACTTACACACCGGCATTCTTTCTTATATTCGTATTTACTTCTATCGATTTGATCTGTTGCAGAAAGTTGGAGGTAATTATATTAAGAATTAAGAAGAAAGAAATGAACATAATATATATAGTGTACAGTTTTCTTCTTAAGATTTTCATCTTACATTGTATATTCTAATTACAGCTGCCGCTTATGTCAGAGTCACCAAATATACTGAAAGATATATGGACTCTTTTGAAATTGAAACCTATTGTTATATTTCTATGTTTTACTATCCTTGCGGGTATCTTTGATAGCTTTATAATTTACTTTTTGTTTTGGTAAATCCTTATTTCTATTAACATGTATTCTCTTATATTTATTTGTCGTAGAATTTCGAAATTTAATTAAATCGAATTATTCAGTACAGTTTATGTGTTTAGGTATTTGGAAGATCTTGCCATAGTGACTGGTTACATGAGTGAAATTAAATTGATAGAAGGTCTAATCGTAGCCGCAGAAACTCTCGGTGGCGAGATAATATTTTTCTCTTTGTCCGGTAAATTATTTCTCTGTTATCAGTTTGTGATACATAAAGCATTTACGTAATTAAAGATATTGTTGTATCTAATATAACATTGAATCTTTTTTTTTTTAGGTAAAATACTGAAGAAGTTTGGATACGGTTACACTTTTACATTTTGTTTTGTATGCTACGCGTTACGGCTGGGATTAATATCTCTTGCTCCAACGCCATGGTGGGTACTTCCTGTGGAATTTTTTATGCAGGGCCCATCATATGCACTTTGTTATACAACAATAGTAGCATATGCGAGTGCAGTATCACCACCCGGCACATCAGCTACTGTTCAAGGAATTGTAGCAGGGATGGATGACGGTTTAGGTGAGCCAATTCCCTTTCCTGGTTTTTAAAAATCATTTTGTAATAGAAAAAATATAAATATATAATTCTTTCACAATCAAAGTTCTTTATCGTTGAAATATTACAATATTTTCAGGTTACGCACTGGGCAGTTTGATTGGAGGTATTTTATATAAAAAATTTGGTGGTGCAATAACTTTAAAAATATTTTCAATACTTGCAGTATTTTCTGCATTTATGTATTTTATTCTTTATACTTCGTACTTAAAGTATAAAACACTAGGTAAGGGATTACATTAATTTCAACTACAAAATATGATAAATTTTTTCAGAATATTATACAGAAGGAATTTCTTTTCTTTATTTTAGACACACACAATAATGTTGAATGGAGGAAACCTGACGATGCACAGAGACACTGTGCTGTAGCAGAATGATGCCCATTCTATATATTTTTATATATAAATAATAATAAAATAATAATAAAAGTCATAAATAATAATAAAACCTAATGTTTTAATTTCATATCTATATATTATATATTGAGTGTAAAAGTATTCGTACAGAGAAAATATTTTATAAAAAAAAATATTTTATTTAAAAAAAATAAACATTATTCAGCCAGAAATGAGTCATCGAATTGATATCAAATCGATATGGATACGATGATTTCAACACCAATTTGACATCGTTTCGACGTTTAATTGACTATCATTTCTTGTCTAAACATTAATTAACAATTTATTCATAAAGAATAAAGTAGACTGTATGTTTCTTAAAATTATTTATTCATTACATATACCAAAAAGATATGTATTAATTATAGAAAATATATCATCTGCAAAATAAGCTGAAAAATAAGCAAAAATTAAAAATTATTTGGATGTTCAAAAAGTATTCGTACAGTCGAGAAATTTAGCTTCTAAAATCAGATATACATGCAAAGCTTATTTGTTTATGTTAGAATAGAAAGTATTCATTGTATAAAATTGTTAATTAATGTTTATTTTCTATAAATAAGACTTTTTTTATAAAAAATTTGCTTGTACGAATTTGTGCTTTCACTATATATACACACACACACGCGTATGTTTACATAGAAAAAGAAAATTAACGCTATTAACTGAGAGTATTCTTATCATTTATAATGTTTGACATCTAACTTTTCGTTGTATTATTACGATAATATATTACACTTGTGAATCTGATTATTTAATTGTAATACTGAAGATGACCTAATCTAAGGTCGAAACGTCTATCTAATCGTTACATGTTAAAATATAAAATATTAGCTGCTAACAACTTGCGTTGTGATATATGCCTATAAGGAATTTATTGTTTTAAATGTATATTTGTTTCACTTCAACTTATTGCACTGTGTGTACCAGTTTAGAAAGTGCAGCAATAAAAAATCGACCTCATGATATCAATCTCATCATGTGTTTAGAACGAGATACTATTAAAGACCGACGGGAGTTTGCGCCCTTGAGAATATTAAAATAATTAAGAGTTAAAAACTGATAATATTATATTAATTTTATAATTTATTAGTTTAGTGGACGTATTTATGCATTTAGAACTCAATAATACTCGATTTTACTTTAAAATTGTGATTTCAGTGTTATCGTCAAAGTTTGATTATCAACAGAGATGATAAAAAATTGTAATTCTTCTGAAATATATAGGATATTAGCTTTACAATGCGTATTTATTTATGGGACATTTATGTAATAAAAAATCATGAATTTAATAATGTATGAGCCAAATATTTACGTTAATAATAGCAAATTTATATTAATTGTCGATAATGTCAGCATTCTTCAATTACCTTCAGGCTCTCGGAGCCCTTTTTATACCGTCGAAGATTTGCCCAGGGTTGACGATCTTTAATAGTATCTCGTCGATGGTTCAGTGCATGTAGTACATGCATACGCATGTACATTTAGAATTCCAGACTTTCTAGGCTATCCGGCTATCTTTTTAGGGCTTCTCCCTTTTAGGAACGAGATTATATGGATAGGATATGTAGGTATCCGATATTTGATGAAAGCGAGAAGAAAAGTTCTAGTGTAATCTAGTGCAGCTATAAAAAATAAACCAACTATCTCGACGACTAGAAAGATGACAGATACTTGGCGTTTGGATATTTTACCGAACGAGATGTTGCTGTCAATTTTCGATTATTGCAATGCATCTGATTTGATACAACTTAGCCAAGTATGCAAGCGATTTTACAGGATCATATCAGATACGGGCTGGAATAAAAAGAGGAAATCATTTCTCGTTACGAATCAAACGTCGGAAATGTTTCGTAAAAGGTATGTTGTTAGGTTGTGTTTAATCTGTGCTGAAATTGCCGAAATGTTTCTGTTTCAACTACCTAAATTTAAACTTGAAGCAAATTCGATCGCACGAACGTAACAGTTCAGTATGATAAGATAACGAGATAATCTTATTTATTGTTTTCTTTATCTAATGTATATTTTTATGAAATATTGATATTTTGTTGAAAATATCAACTATATTATCGATCGGTTAATAATTGCATTAAACTAATCGATAGAGATGACACTTATTTCGGAAGTTACTCATCTGTCTAAAGTTTCGAACTTTGCTGTTGCTCGCCTCTTTTTCCTATGGAAACCTTGGTACCAAGCGGTTGTGTTAATTGCGAGGCCTTGCAGCGGCGATATTGGATAATTTTCTAGTTTCAAATAAGTCTAGAATAAGCAATCTGTCTCTGTACGAAGTACTAGAATTTATTTCTGTTTAATTGTCTAAATATTAAGATTATTGTAATACTGTGAAGTTTTGTTCCTTTCTTGTTTGTTTATCAATTAATTAATATTTGAATCTCCTGTTAGACGAAAGGTAAACTTGTTTAGAAGTTCTGTTCTAATTAAATGTGACTGGACTTAAATAAGAATTGTATATTCTTTGTTTAAGAAACTTTCAACAAGCTTTTTACAGTTTACAAAGGAAAGCTGTCTTTCTGATAATTTTATATATATATAAGGAATTTTACATATATATAAGGAAGAATAAAATAAAAATTAGAAGATTGTGTTATTTTTAGATGTTTTAGATTGTTGCAACCACATGCAGCATGGCACGTATCTCAAAACTGGCATTATGGAATATATAAAAAAGAAGCTGTAGTCTCATCGAAAAGAAATTCGATATCATGGCTAAGAATGACAGACAATATGCTTTGGTGGATGTTTGAGGATCTTTATGGCTTTAAGCGTCATGAGAAGACATTAAATAATCGCCGATCAAAATATCATACTGTGGAATCCTGTGGTCTTCACATTAACAAATTCATTATTTGGAAAAACTTCATCATATGTGGTTATATGTACATATATATATGCATATATATATATATATTTAGTTAATCATTTTTTATTTTTGCAACATACATATAATCCTTTGCAAAAATCTTTACAGGGATGGCACTATAGTCTACTTTATGATGAATTTCGAAAACAATTTGCGCACTGCAAAGATGATCGCGCAGAAATCAGCTTCTGTAAAATCTACTGTTAATGCCATAGATGCCTCATTGGAAAATGTTATTGCGGGCTTAGATAATGGTACAGTAAAGGTAAGAATTTGGTGAATCTGATACAGTAATGTAGTATACGATATAAGATTCATTTCTGTTTAGATATTTAGACATCCAGAACTTTTGAATGTAAGGACTTGGAATCAAATATGCAATGTGGATATAGACAAAAGAATGCTTACTGGTGATGATAAAAACGGGGAAATCTATATAAATCTAAAAGATAAAGTGCAATCGCTTTCAATTGATCCTACTGGAGCAACATTTGCCGTTGGTTCAGCTGGAATAAATGACGTTCCATTACATGTAATCAATGTCGAGCGGTATGTGTAATATTGCAATATTTAATTGATCCATGAGGTCTAGAATTAATTACGATTTTAATGCGATCGATCATACAAATAACACATATTGAATACTTTGAAAAAAAAAAACTAACGGAGAGATTTCAGTTACACAATGATCGATACAATGCAGCACGAGTGGAAATACGGCGCTGGAATATTAGACATGGTATGGGATGATCCCAACACTTTACTCACTTGCGGTTATGATACATACATTCGAAAATGGGACTTGAGGTAACATCTCGATTGCTCAATCACTATTTTCAGCTTTATGTAATATTAACAATTATGATTTGAGAACTGGAAGATGCGTTTGCTCATGGGTGGATCCATGCGATGCAACATTATATTGTATTGCATCCGATAATCAGTATACTATGATAACAGGGACACAGTATAATTGTTTAGCTATTCTATGGGATCAGAGGAAAAATGATTTTGTTCAGGTTCTTATCACAAAACTTTTAAATTGATATATGTGCTTTGTAAATTACAAATTGTTTATGATAAATATTTTTTCAATATTTCTAGATGTATTACGTAAATTCGCAAGAATCATCTCGACGCAGTCCAATCTATTCTTTACAATTTGATAGTACACATCTGTACTGCGTTACAGATAAACGCATATTCGAATTAAACTTTTCAGTCCGTTCAAATCAAAAACATGATTACAAATCGTTGTTTGCATATTTAAAAAGTAGATAGATGCAGACAGATTCAAATAAAACTTTTCATGCTAAAGAAAAGTTTAATTACAATTTGTGACGAGAAGCATGGGAGACATGAAGGACAAAATCTGAAAAAAAATTCTCAAATTCTGAAAATTGAATTCTAGATATGATCTCATAAAAATGGTGTGCTTTACAAAAACAGCGATATTATTTTATTATAAACTGTAATGATACGAATTGTAATTATTGTGTATTGCATATATATATAAAATAATGGTTGTAAATAAATATTTAGCTGCAGATGTTACTTTATGTTCATAAAAAAAAATGGAAACTGACCAAAGTATTGTTAAAATTTCTCGATGTAATTCTTATCGAAGATCTATACTTGAATCCGCTGTGCGAGCTTTGTTACGAGGTTTCATACGCATTTACAGAATTTTACGACAAATATTACTGCCTTGAAAAGAATCAGTCTGGTGAAATAGTAAAAATAAATATGAGACGTCTCTTGTTCATGGAAGTTACTATGTTTATTTTAGAGAAATGTTTTACTTTATTAGATTTAAAACCTGTTGCACAAATATAAAAGGATAAGAGAGTAAACTTACCATATATGTATACGAGTACTTTAATATAATGAAATATAAAAAAGTAAATTATAAGAGTGTGAAATACTAATTTAGTATTGAAATCTAATAAAATCTAATTTAATAAAAAAGCATTAATATAAAAATGTCGATTTTTTAAATGCAATTTTTCTATATTATTTATTATGCTATATATAAAAATTGAAAAAATTAATAAATTATGTTATTGTATCCTATATAATATTAATATTAAATATG